AACACAAAACTGATTCTTCCCCCAACAGCTTACTCCAAAGTGGAACAAACCAGTTATGTTGGTGCTAAGATGATTTTTATCATCATTGGATGGTTTTGAACAAGTTTGACATGACTGTCGATGAGGGAGAGGGCCGGCACCAGAGGAGGGGGCGTGCCAAAGAGACCATCTTAGCACCAACATAACTGGTTTGTTCCACTTTGGAGTAAGCTGTTGGGGGAATAATCAGTTTTGTTGTGCGTTTCCTTGACTGATGAAGCCTTCTGGATGAAAGGTGAAATATTTAAATACAAAAAAAAAAAAAAAAAACTGTCCAGATGGCCTGACTGAAAACTGTTGGACTGCTTCTGATTAGTTTGCATCACTATACATTCAGAAACAATTATCTTATGAATCTTTGCGGTTTGACTTATAATGTGATTTCATTTGGGTCTAACTGAATAGAAACTTAACAAAAGTCCATTTCAGAAAACCTCTGACTGAGGCACCTCGTTCCTCCTTTGGTCAGTCCAAGATTCAAACCAGTCCTGTTTGTCCCTGATGTCTGATCCACCTAAAGCAGTTCCTGATAGCTTTGTCTTCTGGGATCCATCATTTGAGCATTAGCCGTTTTATCAAACCTTCCCAGCCTGCATGTTTTGAGCCCCTGCTCAACAGCTCCATGCACAGCTCACATCTTTCCCTCAAAGATGCAAAACAAGTCCAGAGATGACATGTTTGTGATGTTGCTCTGTCAGGAGGTTTCGCTCTTATTCGTGGGAAAAGACCCCCAGTTGCTCCTTAAACTCAAGTCCTGTGACCCTCAGAAAACTGTTCACAAGAAGAAGCCTGGCTCTGTATGAAGACGAAGAAAATAATCAGTGAGGATCAAACTCACTCCGAGTGCAGCTTCTGTCATTTTTGCATCCCCAACCAGTTACCTTCTGGTGTTGCTTCCAGTGAGATGTTTACACACAACTCCTCACTGATTTGGAGTGAGTCACCGAGTCAAGACCTTTGATTCTGGTAAAGTACATCAATGCTTTCATCAAACAAAGCCCTGCACCGCGGTAATCTCAGTTACACCGCTGACCTCAACCATTAACCCCACCGAGCAAGACCAGTCATGGTTACAGGGAAATAAATCTGTCCTGATTAACCGGCTTGGGCTTGTTTAGGCAACCGACATCATGAGCCGCATCATACCGGCTTAGAGAGCAACTCAATTATGGCTCGTCCACGACAGCTCTGACAGGATCCAACTTCCACTTCAGCCTCAGCGACCGCCCAGAGAGCAACCACAGGGCCCAGACTGACCCAGAATCAGGAGGGAGTTTCTTGAAAACGTTCAGATGAATGGATGACAAAGTGCATTTTATGACTTAAAAGACACATTCTCACATTTATTTCCTCCTCTGTTACACCCATCTCGTCTTAAATCATTACATCGGATGAACTTGCATGTTTTACGAACGCACTGCCAGCAAGTTTATGATATTCCCTCGGGTTAAAAATAAAAAATCCTTTCCGTTTGACGCAGTTCAGCAAATGGCAGCGCAGTGAGAAATCACATTTTAGATGTGCTTCCACACAAGAAACAGCAGCTGGAGAACGCTGATAAGTCTCGGCTGCACCACCTGCTAAAGAAATTACCTTAAAGGTACTTATTTGCAGACCAGTTAGAAAGAAAATATATGAAGTATGGATAGGTAATGTGTCCGCAAATTGAAAACTTGTAAGCAGCTGCCAACTACCACATACATTTGTTTACCTACGGAAACGGTACAAATATTGGCAAAGTGAACTTACAGAGAAGAGATGTTTGAGGCAGAGAAGTCTGAATTTTAGAAAAACTGCAAGAGTAAACCGCACCATTTCATTATGGCTCAGGACCCTGTGTTTAAACAAGCTCAGATTTGTTTTATATATTATTATATTTATTTATTATTTATTATTTATTTGTTGCTCTCTTCAGGTCGAGGGTGAGGTTCTGCCTCAAGTGGAGGAGTTCAAATATCTCGGGGTTTAGTTCATGAGTGAGGGAAGAATGGAGCGCGAGATTGACAGACGAATTGGTGCAGCGTCTGCAGTATTGCGGCCTTCGTGCCGGTCCGTTGTGGTGAAGAGTGAGCTGAGATGTAAGGCAAAGCTCTCCGTTTACTGGTCAGTCCAAGTTCCTGCCCTCACCTCTGGTCATGAACTCTGGGCAGTGACTGAAAGAATGAGATTGTGGATACAGGAGGCTGAAATGAGTTTCCTCTGCAGGGTAGCTGGACTCTCCCTTGGAGATGGGGTGAAAAGTTCAGTTATCAGGAGACTCGAAGTAGAACCGCTGCTCCTCCACATCGAGAGGAGCCAGTTGAGGTGGTTCAGGCATCTGGTAAGGATGCTCCCTGGTGCCTCCCTAGGGAGGACTGGGAGGAGACCCTGAGGAAGACCCAGGACACGCTGGAGAGACTCTGCTTCTCAGTTGGTCTGGGAACACCTTGGTCCTCTCAGAAGAGCTGAAGAGGTGGCTGTGGAAAGAGATGTCTGACCCATGGCCTGACTTCAAAACAAGAGGAAGATGATGGATGGATTATATTAAAAAAAAATTATAATAATAAATTGGTATGCATCCTTTATGATATTGTTGTTGTCCACTGTTGTCATCACTCTGTTTAAATTCAGGTCTCTCTTGTAAATGAGCCCCCGAGGCTCAATGGGACCAACCTGTATAAATAAAGGTTGAATGAATATTTATCTTATTTATTTAATTTTTGTCAGGAAATAAGTTCCCCTGACTTCTATTGTTGATCAAATTCATCTAGATGTCAGACACACAGTGGGTTGTCTGTTTAACTGAGGTCTTTGTCTTCAAAACAGAAGATCTTCTCATATTTAATACATCTGGGCAGTTTTCTGCAACTTGACTCGTCTCCTGCAGATATTTATTAAAACACTCTGCGTTTGTGAGGAAACCCCTCAAAGTGAGGGCTGAACTTGCAGTTGTGGCTTCACTGTACTTCCGACTCGTTTTACAGTGTTTTCCTTCAAAGTACTGGGTTTCCCGTTCAGTTTGACCTTTTAGCGGCGCAGACCAAACACATTAACTGCGTCTCCCTGTAATACAGCAAAGAGAGCATGAGTCACTTCTTTCATTTACACCGATTTCTTGTCCACACACTAAATTATTGTTTTACTGTGCAGCAAATGTGGCACAGCGGACCTAAATCAAACACGAGCTGGGCTTTTTTCTTCTTTTTTCCCCCTCTCTGCATTATGAGGGGAATACCATTGCTTTAAATACTTTGTTAATACATAGGTACACATGGGAGTACTTACGCACTAGCCCAGATGGTGGACCCTCTAATTTGAAATCTAAGCGTATAATTAAGAGACAAAAAAATTAAAAAGGAAAGCACGAGGATTTGCTGCTTTGACATGAAACGCGGCACAAATTACAGCAAAGAGGAGCTCGGTTTGTGCGGTCATCATTATTAGATATTCACATTTAAACAAAATGCTCTCCAGCAGGGAGGAATGGGGGGAGTGTGTGTGTGTGGGGGGGTAGCTCTGGATAGAGATCCAGATAGGACTTTGAAGTTTTGCATACAGGCACAAGCGTTTTCCTACTTGTTCATGAGCTCAGTGCCAAACTAAATATCAGATGACGGAGGTTCATCCTGAGGTAACTCATGTCTGAGTGGTTCAGCTCAGTGGTGGTTCTAGGGGGTGGCACAGGGTGGCAGCTGCTACTGTGACAAATATCTTGCCACAACGTCTGCCACCATATTTGTTGGCTAGTTAATCTAATTTTGTACATTTTGTGCGATGCTGAAAGTTAATAACGTCTGCACGTGAACTTCAAGATGAGGACACCCACCAGCTGGACCCGGAAATTTTACAGTGAAGAAGACGGTTTCAAGATAGTAACTTGAGGCTTTTCCACCCCTGAAGCACAACTTTAATAAAGTGCTGAGAGTTTCCACAACTCTAAGTGACACATCTGGAAAATATATCAGATTTATTTATTCAGTTTTCATAAAATATTGAGTGAAGTTGACCCCGCAGGAAGAAAACAGTTCTTTTTTCTTTTTGGCCTCTTGTGAAAATGAGATTAACACCTGCTCTGTAAATATACACGGTGTACCTCTCCGTTTAATCTCAAGTGTAGCAAATGTTTTAGGAGAAAAATTTGATATGACATTTTAAAATGATTAAAATAAATTATACCCTGTGTGTGTGAGAGTGGTGGTGAGAATTTGAGCAAAACAAGAGGTTGTTGGGTTTTGGGACAAAAATGAAGTTGCTAACAAACAGCACTCCCTGAAGTGATCTTTTGTGTAATTCATATAGATACATAACCTAACTGTATGAAATTTATATTAAAGGTAAACTTTCCCCCTGATAATGAACTCTGCGTGCCCCACCTTTGCCACCCCAAAACAATCTCTAGGTCCACCAGTGGTTTAAACAGCCAGTATGTGGTGCAAATTCATCTGACATGAGAAAAATAAATATTTCTAATGGGGGGAAAACAAAAAAGAATAAAATAAACTAAACGTGCTCAGCTGAAGCAGAACAGGTCACCGCGGGTGCGCAGGATGTTGGAGAGCCATGTGCGTAAAAAGCTGGTCTGGATTATACAAGGTGCTTTAAATGCACGATCAGAAGAGTCTTAATCCCCTAAATGAACTACAGTTTGGTTTTCGTTGTGGAGACTTGAAGCTGATGAGCTTGAACAGAACATGATGTCACTTCTGACTTCAGCCTTTCAAACAAACTCCACATGCAGGAAACAGCTGGATGTCCTGCTGAGACCTGGAGCAAACACTGGCCAACTAAACACCACGAATAAAGTGAGTGAGTGCAAACTGCTGCTCCGACTCAACAGCACCTTTACGCATCAGGGTCTGTGGTTTCTGGCATGCGCTTCATCCCCGAACAGTTCGTCGGACGCGTAAAAGCGGAACTTTGGCGAAACGTCGCCAAGTTGGATCGGAACTCCTCCTGACCAAGAGCAGAAAAGTTGAACTTACCGGTGTCAAAATGAGTAAAAGCCGCAGAGGAAATAAAGGCAGCCAGAAGGAGCGCAGAAGTGACGGTCCAGGAGGAATCCATGGTGTTGCGTGGCTCTCAGGTGAAGTGGAGCTGATGCGCGCGGACTGTCCCCTCAGTCTGAGGCTGTGCACGAGTTTAACAACGAGCCTGGACTTTAAAGGCAGGTAGAGCAGCTTCTGACAGCGCACAGCCCAGAGCAGATAGTACAGAGCACGGATCCGATTTCCAGCCCATGTGACAGGAAGCAGGGGCAGAGAGGATTGAACCTGCAGCGTCGGGGAGACAGCAGAGGGAACAGGGGAGGAGGAGAGAGGGGAGGAGGGGAGGCGCAAAGAAACTACAACCCTGCAGTAAAAGTCTGATCATTAAATTAAAAAAAAAAGACAAATCTCACAGTGAAATTGAACCCTCAGCGAGGAACCTCACCAAGAGTCTCTCAAACGATCCAAACAACTGTTGAAGTTTTGAAGTTGTTGCAGAAATAAAACAAGATCCGAGGAGGAAAACGCAACGGGAGCGCACATGAGATCTGAAGATCCAAATCCAGCAGAGATGCATTAAGTGAAAACTCTTGCTGTGCCATAAGCAAAACAAAACGATGTAGCTGGAGCCAAAAAAAAGATCCAGCTTCGTCCCAAACTTCTCCAAGAAACTTTAGGGTCAGTTTGAATGGTTTGGGTTGGTTTCCTCCCAACCTGGGGTCGCATTTTCTCTTGCGACCACGACCTGGACGTTTGGATACAGTTCGATGAACCTTAAACTGTTCAATGACATTTTCAGCTGAAGTCAGAGGAACATGGGGCTGCTTGGATCCTCAGACAGCTCTCCTCTTTGCTTTATCTCCTCCAGGTTCAGTGTGGTCACACGACGACTGCTCGTTCATTTAAAATAGGCTGAGGAAGCGCTTGAAGGCACCTGTGCTAATTAAAGTCAAACAGTTTGAAACACAACCGTTACACTAATAGTTTCCTTAAGGGAACTAACAAATCAGTTTCATCACATTTTTTTTTCTAAAATAAGCAAATAACTACTTTTTACACCTTTTTCTTTATCACATACTGAAAGCAGGCAGAAATGTGTTCGACAGTTCTTTTGAATGAGAAATCAAGACTTTTTCCAGAAATGTAAATCTGTGTCTGAACGGCGCAGACAGTCGAGTAAAATCACGTGAGCAACATGTTTAAACCCAAAGTCAAGAATCTGCGCCTGATTCTTGCAGAATGGACTCCGTTCAGAGCAGACAGGTCCGGATAGGACTTCTTCTGGGTCTGGATCCAGACTGCAGTGCACTATTTGGAGACTCCTAATCTGTGTTAATGTTTAATAAAGGAATATTTGAGGGGATTGATCCTGAACTGATGCACGTTTGTGAACCATATTCCTTTCTTCTTCTTCTTCTTTCGGCTGCTCCCTTCCTCAGGGGTCGCCGCAGTGAACCAACTTGCATGAAGACTCGATTGTTTTACGCCGGACACAACCACAGACCACCGAGCTACCACAGCTCTCTGTGGAGCAGAGGGCTGCTATAGAGTTAAGAGCCTTGCTCAAGGGCCCAGAGTGGGGCAAATTAGGGTGGAGGCAGGTGTGGATGTTTCACCTTTCCCACCTACATTTTAATGTTGTCGGTTCGGGGAGTTGAACCTGTGACTTTCTGATCAGGCTCACCTTCTCTAACCTCTGCACCACCACAGCTGACTGTTTGTTTTATTTTATTTTTTTAACTTATAACATTTAAAGAATTGCTTTATTAAATAAATCACCCACACAGCACCTCAGAGGAAAACAGCGAAAAGCATTTTTATTAACATTATTATTTACGTTTCTAATGAAGATGGACTCCTCTTCAGGGGGCAGCAGGGACAGGTGCGCGGCGTGCATGGCTGAGTTCATCACGGTCCAGGTCTGACCCGGGTGTGAAACAGCGCCCTCATGTGTTTCTCACAAACATCATCCCACACTGTGAACAAGAGTCGGAGCTAAAAGCCCCTTCACGACTCGGCATGACGTCACTGGTCCTGCAGAGAACATTTATTCTGCTCAAACCTGCAGAGTTGAAACGAGACGCGCTGGCAAACTAATCTGTGCCCTTTTGAGAGTTGCAAGTGCACGGCCCTGAGGTAAAGCTTCACGTGCACCGAACGACTGGGACTTGATGAAAGGAGGACGTTTCTTCTCCTGACAGTTTACAGAGGCCATGTTTGGTTACATGATAACAGCTGATGCTGTCAGGGTCTTCACCCGCTGTCTGTGCATCAAATATGAGTTAAAAGAGCAGGAAGCATGTTTTGTCCAGCAGCAGCCGTGCAATCAGTTAAAGCCTCTGAATTTATTCTGCATACACAACATTTTACCAAGATAAAAATGATTTATTTCGTTCTCACATCACTAATCGGTAAATCAATCAATTCAGCTTCTATAAATTCCACAACAAACTTTTGTTTCGTCGACAAAATTGTGTGAATGTTTGTGAAGCGTTCACACTATTGTGATCCATTTTCCTTCTGCATGTTTTTCAGCATCTTTCTCGTTCCACAAGTTTTGTGCCATTTTAACAAATGATAAACTAAAACGTTCAGCTACTTCTGACAATCCTGCTATGACTTTTGGTGCAACTTCAGCTTTTTTTTTTTTAAATATTTAGCTTTTTCTGCCCTTTTTTCCTCACAGAAAATGAACTGAGCTCATTTTACCTCCTTCAAATCTTTAGATCTGTTTACAACCTTTTACTGCTCCTTTCACATTTTGTTCAGCTTCAGCTTCCTTCTGCTAATTTTAACTTTTCTCATCCACTTTCAGCTGTTCTGTGCTCCTTTTAAATTATTTCTGCTAACTACAACATTTTTGTGTTTCTTCTAACTTCTTTCAACTTATTTCTGCAAGCTTCAGCTTTTTCTCCTATTTCAGATATAGCTGTTTATGCTAATTTAAGCTGCAGCCAACCATATTTTTTGCACTCATTTCAACCGTTTTCAGCCTAGTTCAGCAAAAATGTGCTCTCTCCATTTCCTTCTGCTAATTTAAGCTTCTTTCTGACTTTTTAGCCAATTTTCAGCCGTTTCTACTCTTTCAGCTACTTTTTACCTCTTTTGATGCTAATTTTAGCTTTTTCATCTACTTAATTCCACTTTTTAAAAATACTTTTAGCTCATTTCAGTTGTTTCCACTTACTTCTTTTGCCTTTTCAGCTTCTGTTCGGCTATTTTTTTAGCTGATTTAAGTTTTGTGCACATTTTGTGCTTAAACCCAATTCAACAAATGTGTGTTACTTTTTGCTTTATTCTGCTAATTTAGGCTGTTCTTCCATTTCAGCTACATTTCATAATGTTTTTTTTTTTTTATTAGCTCAATTTATTGTTTTTAGCTAATTTCAGCAAGTTCTATTGCAATAAGCATTCCACTGCATTTTTGCAGGAAATGCAATTTCTCTAGTTATGCATAGTTTTTAAATTTAACTAGTATTTTTTGTGTTATAAAAAACAATTGGCTGTTGTAACACATTGAAGCCTTCTGGTTTAAGAAGCTTTAATTAAATTGTTGGCTAAAGTTTTGTTCAGACTGAATTGTTTTACACCTCAGTATTTTGTAATATGAGTTTGTCCTCACAAACGGAGCAGAGTGACTGAATATTAAACAGAGTGAATCAAATATGGCGTTTTGTCTGTCTGTGCAGTTAAATGCTTATTTTGTGTGTTGGTGTGTGTAAGAAATCACCACGCTTGTTCGTGCACGCTGCCTGCACATGCACATTCCTTGTGGTCTGCAGGAGTTCACGTAATTCTCTTGTCCCCCCCTCCCCCCCCTCTCTTTTTCCAGATAAACCTTGGCACATCAACACATGAAACTCCTACTCTGACGTCTGCCTGTTTTTCTTTAGGTGGAACAATTAGATGTTCTTGTGTTCAGCTCGTCTTCAGCAGTCCCTCCCGTGGTGTGGTGCAGCACGGAGGTCACGGTGAGACTGATCCACTGAAACGTGTCAGAAAACACCTCAGCATCCTCCGCCTCCCTGCCAAAGGGAAGTTCTGCAGAGTTGACTCAAAGGTTGGCCCAGATGCCTTGAATTCACAAAATCTGGAGCCAAGAACACGTCGTGTCCTTGTTCCCCCGTCAGTGAACAGAGAGTAGCTTTGAATTTTAACACTTTTCTTCCTTTTTAGGGGAATTTATTTCTGTTTGTTCTCTATTTAAGAGAACCATGTTGTATTTTTTTTAATACCTACACATAGCAAATTTGATTTTATTCTATAAATGCTAATAATCTGCTTAAATTAAAAAAAAGGGAGGTAGTGACTCGTTACTCCGTTTTTTTAATATGTTGTACATTCTGTACGCACTATAGAGTTCTTTATTTTGCATAATTGTCTGCTTGTGGCTGGTATTTACTTCCGTCCATCCATTATCTTTACCCACTTCTTCCTTTCGGGTCATGGGGGTCACTGGAGCCCATGTCCAGCAGTCACTGTTGGAGAGGCGGGGTGCACCCTGGACAGGTCTCCAGTCCATCACAGGGTCACACAGAGACAAACAACCATTCACTCTCTCACCATGCATGGTTTTGGTTTGCAACATGCACGGAGAGAACATGCAAACTCCACCCAGAAAGGTCCCCGGCTAGGATTTGAATCTGCAACCTGCTCGTTGAGAGGCAGCAGCTCTACCAACTGCACCACCGTGCCGCCTACATTCATATCGTTGTCATTCTTGTTAAACTGTTGCTGGTATCCAGACAAAATGTTCTGTGTGCACGATTTGGTATAAAAGGTTTCTTAATCAGATTTTTTTTTTTTATTCTGCTCCTTTAATAATTTGTTCCATCTGCGTGTTTCAAGCGTTAAAAAAAAAGGCCTCCGTCAACACCGTGGGTTTGATATTTAATTGTAAAAATTAAATAAAAAACACAAAACAAATAGTGTGAAAATTGCTGCAAATGCAGGTTTTAATGCATTTATTTAAAAAAGTCGGACAAACTCAAAACTAATTTTTTTTTCTTTTGAAGACAAGTGGATAATTTAAGATAATCTGCTAAAGTTGTGTTTGAAAAAGTTTTTTTGACAATAAAAACATTTAAAAAGAGCCAACATTCCTTGAAAATATTCCAGCACCTTTCATGTCAGAGATTTAAACTAAAATCATCTTTTGACAAATCTGAGCCATTTTGGTCAAACTATAAAAATAATTCTACGCAATATTGAAAGATGTGCTCATAGGATGTTTTATTTATGACTCTCAG